TGGGTCCCTGACGCCAAGTCCCACCTTAATGGAAGACGCTGCTTGAGCACATTGGATGAGACATCGTGGGATGTAAGATGGTTTAGTTTATTGTAGTTTATTGTAGTTTATTGTTGTTTATTGATATTGATATTAAAATGTAGGGGGCATTGGGATATTCTGGTTTCAGCAACACGTTTAGTACGGTAATAAGTCAAAGAGTTCATCGAGATCACGAAACCCAGTGTTCAGTGAAATCAAACTCCACAAGCGCATGTGAATAACCCGGTGCTTGCTCGAGGAATGCAATAAAGATGCAGCAGAGATTTCCCACAAACCAAGACGACGAAGAATAAGATTAGGGACCTCTACCTTGACCTTAGGTTTGGTTCCCTCGCTCCACTGAACGCCCAACTCCTGCAGTCGTCAGGTTACTCGACAGACAACGCGTTTTTCCCTCAAAACCGAGGCGGCAATAAATTGTATTTTTGCTCAGAAACTAGGAAGGGAAGAAGATGTTCGGGTCCTGTTTGGGATGCCGCTTTGTTCACTCGGATATAGCCACGACTAACCTTTGTTTTTAGGCCATCACGAGCGGCGGACGACACCGATACGCCCAAAAACTTTTCCTTGACGCCCCAAATTAACATCAGCATTTAACGAGGTAAGTCTCTTCTACTCCGTCGAGTAAACATAGTTCTTGGACGTTAGGTAAGGGAATTAGTCATGAAAGTTCATAGGCTAATGCAAGTTGACCTAGCCCACTAAACTAAGAATTAACAGCAGACTTGTCTCACCTAAAGTTTCGGGGAAAGGACATATGCGAACTTGATTTCAATGCATGAAATTGTATAATACGCCCTCCAAAATTAATTTAGCGTATGATCCGGAAAATTAATCGAAATTTACGAAAGAAGAAGTGTCTACAAGTTTGCTTCCATCTCCAGTGAGCGAAAAATGGTCAATTGATTTATAGTTCTTTCCAAAACAAAGCTGACGTCAGAAGTCCAATTCGTTGATCAGCTGGGGTTCAGGCAAAAAATATTACTGCATAGTTGACTTAACATTAAATAAGTTTAAATTTAGATCCGATTGATCACACCCAGAAAGTTTGTATCATCAGCTTCCATGTACTTAACAAGTATTTTTTTCATGTTTAAACTGATTAAGTGACACCATTAAACGATTAAGCCGAAAAATTAAGTTGCAATAGACTTTTGTTGTCGCTCACCCTCTAAGGGCCGTTGAATAGAAAATTGCATGAATAAATTTTCTGCTTACTCTGAAACAATAGTTGTAACTAATTTAATATACGAAAACTATTAACTGGTGTTAAATATTTAAATATTTAATTAGTAATAAATATTTTAACAACTATAAGGCACTATTTCTTTCCTAGCTTAATTTATTAGATTTTCATTATTTATTCATTGAAAACCGTATTTCGACATGATACGATTGATGAAAATCTTCCAGATAGAAGTAAAAAGTATGCGCTACGATTCTCACCTTCGACTTCATTTTAACCGTGCAGTATAAGACTTAATTAGGAGCTGAATGAAAATCAACTGCTCTCCTGCCGCCATTTGTTCGGAGCATTAGCTTTTAATAAGAACGTGCAAAAAGAATTTGGAAACGAACTAATCTTGAACTTGTTCATCTTAACATACAAAAAATTTCATCCACGATACAACTCTGCAAAATATGAGTAAATAAATTTTTGGGTTCAAATCTTCCTCTTTTTTACTCCTCAAATGTTTCGTTTGTAAGATCAGGAGGTTGTGGCATGAAAGACCGAGATCAGCACTCTATTGCTGTAGCACCAAGGACGCGGTGAACAATAAATTCCCACTTAGAGATCGCCGAGCCAAGCCATAATTGCGAACGGTTTTTTCCTTGTATGAATGGCATTTTAACTTGAAAGGTTCGTGATTATATGCGTATTACAATGTGTATCACCATGCTACGGAAAACTGAACAGGTTGTTTCGCTCATTTTGCAGTTTATTCAAGTTAAAGGTTTATACGATTGTGTCCCTAACTATATATCAGTAAAATACTTGTAAAATATTCTCCCAAGACCACTGTGCACATGTAATTTTGTACATGATGATTAGGACGATAGTTGTACAATAAACTGTACAAAATTAACCGTCATTACAAGTTTGAGCTCATCCAAATGTCGGTTTCGGTTGGCTTGAAAATGCTGCAACAACACGAGGTATTGTATTGAATTAACTGCACTGATTTCCTGCCGAAAACTTACACTGTTGAATCTATTTTGATGAAATCTGAATTTAAAGTGCACTTCTTGACCCGAAATGCTCACTTAAATTAAGTTCTTAACTGAAAAGTTCTTTGTTTTTATTTCATTCTGGACTGAAGAGGGCGCTATCAACACACATTCATTGCTGAAACGAGAGACGAATGAAGTTTTTGTGTAAATTTAAGAATGCAAGATCCCAGGAATAGTTTCGAAATTCTTATTTGCAAAAAGTTATAGTTTCAGATCATCATTTGCATATATAATCACTCTATTTTGAGTAAATATTGTCCTATAGTTCTTGTCATCAACATCATTTTTCCTGACGATAATGAAGGAAATATTATCGAAAGTTTCAAAATAAAAGTGTAGGAAAATCAAACTCCTCGAACAACCCCACATTTTATTGCAAGCTTCGTTACCTGAGTCACCAAATTTCACTCACAAAAATGTTACCAGACAAGGCAGAATTTGGGTGTAAATAATTGTAAATTTAACATCGTTATTGAAGTTCCAAAAAACATTTTACTTGCTGGTCGTCACTCGAAGTACTGAACATTTCAACATCAAGTGAAAGAACTTGAATAACACAAAGCCAAGCACACGGGATCTATGAATCATAAGACTGTAACGAATAACACGGTATGTGTGTCAAGAAAAACTGTCGACTCGCTGCTGAAGATGCAAAATTTGTCATATGAAGCTTTGATTCTTACACAATTAACTGACAAGCTCGAAGCGACGATAAGCATGCGTGACACCGACATGGATCCTTGAAAAAAGCGTTCGCGATAAAGCAGCAAAAGAGAGCCTATAACAAGTTGAGTAATGAAATATATAAAAACATTGATGAATTATGTGTGCTGAAAACTCAGTGCTGCAACTCTCAAAAGAAATGAGGCTTGCAAGCGGTATGTAATGATTACGACGCATAATTAAGTGATCTATATAATTGGACAATTCTTCACTATATGAAAAGAAATAAAATTTTTTGACAAATATATTGTGATGAAATTTGAAAACTACTCTTTTTCAATCCAGCTGAAACAAACAAGCCAAAAAATACATTCTGATTAAGACAATTTTAAAAAACACAATTCCACGAGCGCTCGGGTTGACGAAATTAATACAAAATTTTCAATTAACTGAAACGTAAAAAATTTCATATCAAAATATGGGATACATAAGTTATACATATTTACAGCAACACATTCCCTACATTAAGCGGAATGTGTTCATTCAAGCAAAGCATTCAATTGGCCTACTAATTTATCAATCATCATAACTAATGAAATACTGAATTGGTTTGGAGTTTCCTGTGCTCATCCTGAAGTAGTAACCGTTACCTCCTGGCCATTCGAAACCTTCTGGCACTCTGACTGGGATTGGCTTCCTACCACTCTTAATCTTGGTTGAAGGAGATTTTTTAGAGCTTGTCGTGGAAATGGAGTTCTGCTTAATAAACGGATTGCTGGGAAGCGTATTTGTTTCAGTTCTGACAGCGTCATTGTGGCGTGCAGCTGTGACGAAGGGGTTTGCCAGTGACACTGAGTTCTCAAATGAAGGTTGTCTCGGTGCTGCCAAAGTCGGGGTCTGCCGTGGAGGGGTGGTAGTGGTCAAGGGTCTTGGAGTAGTAGTGCTAGGTCTCAGGGTGTGGGTGGTCGTAGTTGGTGGGCGCGTTTGAGGACGTTGAGTGTTAGATAAAATAGGAAGGGGTTGTCCAACAGGTGCAGGAGGTGTAAACACAGTATTAGTGCGGTGAATAACATTGTGGTTAGTGACTGGTCTGAAGAGGAATGGATTATTGTTTATGTTCGGTCTTGCTGAAGAAGAAGCAGAACTTGGTGGTGCGTTTGGAGCTGTAAAAGTAGACGCCGGTCCTATGAATGAAGCCGGAGGGAACCTTACTCCTCCAGTCTGGCTTGTAGTGGAAGATAGTGGCCGTCCGATATTAGTAGCAGTTAATCCAGGGGCTTCAGGAATGATGTTGGTGCTGAGAATACTGCGGTTGTCAGGGATGGGAAGAGGACGGCCGACGTTATTTATGAATTGCCCTGGGGAAGCAGGCAACGAACTTCCAGAGCTGAATGTTCTTCGATCATTAATTGCTGGAAGCCGGGCATTGTCAATTGGTATTCTAGCCAGAGATGGAGAAGAACTGCGAGCAGGGCTTCCAACAACGGCGTTAGAGACACCATTATTAAACGCATTCGTAGCTGACAATGGACGACCAACATTGGATTGAGTTCTAGATGTTTGAGTGCCAAAGTTGACGCCTGGGAAAGTATTCGTACCTCCGCGATTATTCTGTGTCCTCTGGATGCTGGATGTACTGTATGAAAAATAAAAAATATAAATAATCATAAGTAGTGTTCTCATAGTTTTAAAATACCGAAACACCCATGTCAAAAGTATTTATTAACTTATTCTATAAAGCAATCATAATTATTGCCCACTACTTCCAGATTTCCTCACCTGGTTGTTCCCGAAGTCCTGGTGTTCCCCAAGAGTCCAATATTCTGCAGAGCAAGACGAGCTCTCGCTCTGTCGTCCGCATCATCGTCGTTGAGATCATCAATGAGATCCTCGACAGAATTTCGCTCGAAGCTATCCCTTCGGAAGCCACTGAAAGTGTTACGGCTCGAAGTGATAAGATTCTGAACTCTGTTGTTATTTGTCCTGCTAGCGGGGGAAGCGGGGACGAAGATTTCATTGCTGTCTCGTTCTAGGCTATCTCTGACGATAGTAAAGTGATTACGTCCTGCGATGTTTTGGTTAATTTTGGTCCTAGGCGCGAGAGCTGGTGACGCGGGTAGGGTAATTTCAATACTGTCTCGTTCTGGGCTATCTCTGACGATGGAAAAGTGGTTACGGACAGGATTGTTTTGGCCGAGCCGTGTTCCAGGCGTGATAGCTGGCGACACGGGAAGACTAATTTCAATACTGTCTCGTTCTGGGCTATCTCTGACGATGGAAAAGTGGTTACGGGCTGCATTGTTTTGGCCGAGCCGTGATCCAGGCGCGATAGCTGGCGATACGGGAAGACTAATTTCAATACTGTCTCGTTCTGGGCTATCTCTGACAATAGTGAATTGGTTACGGCCAGCATTGTTTTGGCTAGCCTGAGCTCCAGTACTGAACACTGGCGAAAACGGAAGAGTAATTTCGATGCTGTTACGTTCCGGGCTGTCCCTTCGGAAACCTAAACGGCCTATTTGATTGTTATTTCTTTGCGGAGGTCGTAAGTTATTCTGACTGACAGTGCGAGTGTTACCTCTGAACGGAACAGCTACCTCAAAACTAATGTCCTCTGGGCTGTTGGACCTAAACACGTTGGTGGCAGGAATAGTTCCCTGGTTGCGCGCTGCGTTGAGGAACGGGTTGACGATTTCAATGCTGTTTGTTTCGATGCTGTTTCTCCCAAAGGGATTTCTGCTGCCTAATGTGCCTTGAACATTGCTTGTGAACGGAGTCCTGATTTCGATGCTATCTCTCTCGATACTGTTCCTTCTAAAAGTGTTACTGTTTCTCAAACTAGAAACAACATTGTTCCGGAACGCATTTGGGCGTTCTCTGCTGTCATTTTCAATACTAATGGTTCTAAACACATTAAAGTTGTTTGGGGTGGACGCTTGAACATTAGTTCTAACTGGAGTCCGTACTCCGTTGTTGTTCCTTGGGGCGGCATTTGAGTTGGCAGGAATAGCGGCTTGATTGTTCAATGAAATAGGGACCCTAATTTCGAAGCTGTCCCTTTCATCGCTGTCTCTCCTTAAAAGATTTGTTCTGGGGCGACCTGTTGTCCTCTGGTTATTACCTATAGTTTTTCTAATTTCGTTGTTATTAGTTTTGATGCTGTCCCGGATTCTCGCTCCAAAGTCCCCAGCAAATTTGGCTGCCTGAACTAACTCAATGCTATTCGTTTCGATACTATCGCGGAACCTCGCGTTGTTGTTGAGCTGGCCACGAACTGCGCTTGGGACCTGAATTTCGATGCTATTGAATTCTATGCTGTCCCTCAACCTAAGGTTGAGATTATTTGGGCTGCGATTGTTGTTGTTGATGTTATTTCGGTTGTTGGTTTGAGCTGCAATGCTGAATGGCGAAGCATTGTTGTTGTTCAGAGCGGCATTGTTGTTTCGGGCAAAATTGCTGTTGATATTACCGCTCCTAAAAGCACCAATGCCAATTTCAACGCTATCTCTTTCTAAGCTTATGCGTTCTCGACTTCTATCGAAGCGGTCGTTCAAATCATCGAAATCGTTGTCGAACTCATCCGTGTCGAATCGGTTGCGCCGGTTCTGGAAGAAATGAAAAATATACAAGTAAAATTCAAACAAATGCTTCAAATTAAATCCAGGAATTGTCTCGAGCCTTCAAAAGGTCCATTACATATAAGACCGTGAATTTAAAAGCAAAGAAAATACCACAAAAATTCACCATATCTTTATAAGAGAAAACGTTTCGGAGTCCAGCTCCATCGTCAGTTCAAACCACAAAATTCTGTTCGGAGCTGGACTCCGAAACGTTTTCTCTTATAAAGATATGGTGAATTTTTGTGGTATTTTCTTTGCTTTTAAATTCCTGGTTAACTTGCGATTCAAGCGGACAAGTGATTTTAATACATATAAGACCGTTTAGAATGATTTAATTCTAGAATTTTTTATTTCCCCTATCAAAATGCAGCAGAAACTCACGTTGCCACTGAACTGGGCTGAGGTGGCGACCGCCGCTGCCAACACCACAAGGATCTGTAAAAAATTAAAATTTAATTACTGACTGAATCATAGATAATCACGAGATAAGATTTTGATCTGACCAATTGTCAGGAATTCAGGTTCCATATAAATATGGCCGAAAAAGATTATACATTTTTAAGCCATACCCGTGATTGGTAAAGTTGTGTTAAAAGTAGTCCAAATTAAAATCAAATAATTTTCCAATTTCATTCAATATCTACGGAAAATATTTAATCAAAATTTTAGTAAAATTGTATCAATCTTTTAAAAAGTTGTGGGAAATGGATTAACATAACTTTGAATTCATAGCTAAATTTTACGACGTAATTTTCTCCGTAAAGAAAAATTTTCCGAGTTTATTACTGATTAAACTCCAAAATTTATGAGAGGTTAGATGTGAACGCATCCGATCATCGTCCCTTGAAGGCCACAAAAGTACGTGGACAAATTCATGGAAATTGCGTGGCACAAAGTACAAGTATTTCGTCTTCATATTGCCGGGAGGTTAAGCTTTCGCAACAACCTTTATCCCTAATTAACCCCGGTTACCATAAATGGTCGAATTATGATCAGGCCTTACACTCTCTAGAAAAATTTATTGGGCTCCGTGTAAAGGACAATCGCCCGAGCAGGTTTCCCAACGCCTCATGCATAAAAAATAAATATTTAATTTCTAGTTTCTTAACTGGTGACTTTCCCATTAAATTGAAGGGGGATTTTTTTTCATCGCTGAAACGAGTAAGAGGCTGAAGGTTCATTTTTGCTAACTATCGTGCCGAATGAAAAATCATCTTGGTCTTCAAAAATGCATACAGTATAAAAATGTACATTTTCACATCTACATGAAAATTTTCAGATAAAAACATTTCATTTATTGAGAAATTTTTGAAATAGTTGAGGACAAGGCTGATATCGACTGATAGTTTGCAACATTTAATAAAAACATAACTGACATATACGCTGATTCATATACATTCATCGTATTTCAATCTCCATTTGAATTCTGGCAAGCATATCACGGTGAAATTTTACCTGCGCAAAATTCATAAAGAAACGTGAGTTAGTTTGGGTGACTAAGCACCAGCAGCCAAGACATCCTGAGCATGGGATCGCCGTCAGTAGGTACCATTCTTACTCAACGGATCCAATAACCGTCACCAATGTTATTCGTACCTGAAGGTCGGGTAACTAAGACTTACCATCAGTGCCAGTCATTTGAGCTTGGCGTGTTCTAGCCTATAACCTCCGTGGCCTCAGCATTCCGGCAAGCCAGGCTGCTCGACCTGCCACACCACGTAGTGTAGTCCTGAACTTGCATGATATCTGATACGTGCATAAACATTTGATTGTATGATCATCACGTAATGTTTCGTAGTGTGATTTTGAAGAATAAGGAGAAGATATTAAGTTTTCTCTGATGAAGGATTTTAATTTACCTTGTATTTAATCAAAATATGTGCACCGTAGCTTGTACATTTAGGCTAAATATTATGGTCTCAGTGAATTAAAATCGTTTTAAAACAAGCTAATGAGAGTAGTGCGCTAAGGAAGTCAAGGTGCAAAGTAGATCATTGATATGAACAAACGGTGAATCGAGTTTTACTGCCGATTTGTCATCAACTTTTACCATTATTCAATGGTTTAATATCCGAACAATAATGTTTTCTCGGTTGAAGTGCCTGAATGAAAATATCATTTTGTTTGTACATTCGACGTTGTTGGCATTGAATTCTTCCATTAATTCACCTGATCAAATATATTTAATTATATAAGTGCCTACGTTTTCACATGCAGCAGCCTGTGTGAAAAATTGCAACCTGCCCATATAAGGCGAGACGCTCGATCGTCAACGCTTGCAAACTGATGCATTCACTGGAAAAGTCACTTGAATTTCTTGTTACCAAAAAAGGCATTGCACAAAGGTATAGAATTTTCACACCTTTCCTCCTAGAATGATCATTTACTGCGTCGAAAATTCATTATCGCTGTCAACGTGTAAGTGTAGGAACGTGATTTACGGTGTAAAAAATATGTGATCGTAAACTCAGCTTACGATCGCAGGTTTAAAGCTACCCACTCTTCAATGTTCTCCTCACTGTACAATTATTAAGCTCAGGCATGACTCTTAATAATAATTTTGTTTATTCGTCCTTTTTAATTTTTCAGTCCAATGATAATTGTGCAGAATTTGCCATACTTGAATGATTCTTTACAAGTGAGCATAAAATAAGGGATTAAGTAAAATTTTTAATTCCATAAATATAATATATCTATAGAAGATTAACAATCAATAATTGAATAGATAAGAGTCACAAGGTTCCCTGTAACAAAAAGCCTGTTCAGTATGCTTATGCTCTCTATGGTTTACGTAATTTTTAAAGGCTTAGTGATTTGCTGCAGTGGGTTGAAAGTGAATGCTTCTTTTTGCAACGTAGAAATGACGCGGATAGAAATAATCACGGTCACCCTGTGAGGTACAACAGATGGTCGACCTTCCACGAACCTTTAAGTCGGAATATAAGCCTAGCCGATGCATCGAAAGTCAGCGCATCAAGACGCCTTCGCTTTGGACCGCTGCATACATTACTATAGACTTCATCCTGAAAAACTTTGCAGTAAAACACTTAGAAGAGCGCCAATACTATTACAAACAAAAAGTTTACCAGGTGTTATATAATATGTATGCAAGTATAATAAGTATACAGATAAACCTTTATGCAAAGTACGTTATTTTCAAATCTAATAGAAAGTTCTCCGTTCATCGTAAACCGTTCACTCTTCACTGTTTTCCTCACTGTGCAATTATTAAGCTCAGGCATGACTCTTAATAATAATTTTTAGTGACTCTTAGTAATTCAAAACGTTTATTTCTATTTTGAAGAAACACAAGGTTACCGTTGATCAGTTTTATTTCAGTTCTGTTTTGTTTCCATTTGAATTGATGACTAAAAAAAGGTTATATGAAATTGTTAATGTTTGTTTCGAAGATTCGGACAGAAATATTATCCCCAACGTCATTATGAACTATTATTTATTTGCATGGTGTTCAGAATAATACGAGTATTTTCGATTCATATTTCATTTTAAATTTATCATCTCTATCTCAATTGATGAACAAAAGTAGAGTAAAAATCAGCGCATGAATGGGAATAAAAGACGAAACTCGTCGTCACGTCCCAATGGGTTTGCTTTAAACGAAGCCATGATGCTGTATAATTTTCTGCTCATTGCGCAGGGCTTCCTAACGCAATGCTTTCTTGCAATGCCTGTCCTGATTACTCGTTGCTTGATTAGAAATTGTGATAAAAAGCATTGCAGTCCAAGCCACGCTAGACTGCAAGGGTCTTCGTTGGATTTGTGTGCTCGTGTTGAAAAAATGCTTGCGGCTCCTTTTTCTTTTACATGTATCACTACCAAGAAATTTGTGAACTGTGTCAACAGATACGATATATGTGCCCCAACGTTTAACAGATTCTGATTGCAGTTTAAAATAATGCAATGGTTATTGAACATCAATCACAATAAACAGAATGCGAGGCGGTATAAGGTTTAAAGTTTTTCGGCTTACAGAGCTCCAAGATAACCCGCAGAAAAACTTCAATAAACACATCGAATATTTTACGCTAATGTTTAATACCGTGTACAATAATGAGCAACCTCCCATTTTAGAACCCTTTATGTTAATTCATCGCCACAAAATATATGCAGGCACGAAAAGGTACTCAACAATGCTGTCAAATCCGGCCTTTCCTTTCCTGCCGCTGCAGGAATATAATCAGGCATAGCTCATAAGTTAGTGATTAGGGATCAACTTTCACGAGAAGAAATGACCTCTCAGAAGATTATGCTACTTAAAGAATGAAAAATGAACTTGAAATGAGTCCTCATAGGCAAAATTTATGTCGCAATCCGATGTACTAGGCCGATCAATCGCTCGAACTAACTCGGATTGCAAAAGCTTCGATAGCTCTTTAAAGGGGCTAATATTAAGGAACAATTGATGACGTTAACTTCCGATAAGCCGTTGGAATAAGTCTGATGATCATCGCAAGGCAGCATTCTAAATCACAGCTGATAGGCAGCGGCTAAGTAATCAGTTTTTCCTGTCGCTGAGCTCGGTCATGTCTGTGCATTTAAGTCTGATGACCATGACAATGCAGCATTCTAAATTATTGCTGATAGGCAGCGGCTAAATAATCAGTCTTTCCTGTCGCTGAGCTCGGTCATGTCTGTGCATTTAAATCCTCACCCAAGAACAGCGCCGCCACCACGCTCTAGAAGAGGACAAAAGTTCCACTGCTTGGGAGCTGTTAACTTTACCTGACCTGCTCCAGCACCAAGATGACACATGAGGTGCCAGTGAAATCAAATTTTTCATTCTTTGCATGCCTCGCTAAGGCATGAATAGAGCCATGCATGATTAGAGCAATCCGTCGTACGAAGGGTCTCCATGTTGGATCGACAATATGCGATCAGTACTCTGCTTAGCGGCTTCGTTGACCTTGAACATGAAATTTACTTCAAATTAAAGCTCGAAAGTCCCTTTTCGACATTGTGAATGTAAAATTCGTGGATTTCGATGCGCTATAAGCCTGGAGGTTTGGAGACCTGAGATTGCATCAAGATTTTGCAGGCGAAGTGCGAAGGTCAAACAATCCACGAGTTTGTCTCTCGGAGGAAAACGCCCAAAACTCTTTGATTGCCAACTCTTGAATGCAGCAAGTTCGTCCATGACATACACGAGTCTTTCGTTGCAACACCAAGTAGTAGTGACCAGGAGCGAACACCGAGCAGTGATCAAACTTGAACATCTCGACGCGAAAGGCAAATTTGAAATAGCTTGCATACGAGAAGCTGAACAAATACACTAAGATTAGAGACGGTGCTTGGGCTGAACATAAACCAGCCACAGGAGGTCATTGCGCTGCGAAAGGAAGCGACAACGGGATCATGCAGGAGCGCCTTCCATGCTAGAGACTGCATGCTCATCGAAAGGGAAAGGCCCCCACGTA